GTGCTTGCTGGCTTGGTTAGAGGAGAACAGGACTGCCTGTACCACCAAGGCACTATGTTACACAACGGGTCTTCAAAAAATTCATGGAGAAAAGAAATTGAAGATAATTGAATATTTCCATGAACTTTTTGAAGTCACCTATTCTTAGAGGTCAGAAAAAGAGGGTTCAACAGACAAAAATAATCTTTAAAGTGATTCTGCTTCTATATATAGTCTTAACCTTTCTTTCGAGTTCCAGACTCAAATGTCCAACTGGACATTACCACTGGATTATTGAATTGGCATTTCAAACTCTGATTCCCTATCAACAGCTAATGTGTTCCCCAGTTTTCTGCCCTCAATAGATGGTACCCTCTTATCTTCCAGTAACACAGACCAAACCCCAGTTTTGGATGTCTTTATCCTCACCACTACATGGACAGGTTCAAACTGACAGTGATTTGATTAATAATTGTTTAAGCATTTGCACCACCAAGGGACTTAACCTAGATACACCTGAACTGTTCTTACACATTACACTGTTTCTTTGCAATGCAGCCTCTATCTAGTGGTGTTTGCATGTGTCCTCTCCCTGCCCTAAAGTAGAAGCCCTGTGTTAAACTTTACCCCACATTCTCATTACTCTCTCTCCAGTACCTGGGCAGTGTCTAGAAGTATCATTGTGACTGCCCCCCTGTAGTCCTCTGTGCCCCACTTATTACATGCTTCCTTCTGTTCTGTTCACTGATGGAACTAGGAGAAGACTTAAAAGTCCCAATTAGTTTTCACATCTTCCAGTAAATATCTTGGGAAGGCCTTAATACTTCTCTCCTATCCACTACCCTCAACACACAGTTTTACCAGTTGCCTGTATATACTTTCTACTAAAAGCTAAACAAAGAAGCCCCCACTACTCACCTGTCAATTTGCCATACTGTGATGGCTTTTGTGTTGCTGTGATGCCAACAGCTATGCCACCGATATCGCAAATATTCCAAAACCCATGGAGAACGAGCTTCAGGAGAGCTTCCAGACCAACAAAAAACAAAACTAGGAAGAAGGAATTAGCATTTGAGCAACTAGCCACTGAAAAAACCTTATAAATAGCAGCTGACCATTGTCTGATAGAGTGCCGGATGTTGAACTCCTCTGGTTGGAAGACAATCAAAACAGTATTCATAGTAGAGTTGGTCTTAAAGGAGTAGAGCTTTGGGGGTCTTATCTGCTAATGGGGCACTACTCAAAATTGGAACAGATCTAAGTATGAATCTCAGAAAATTAGAAATAAAATAAGCATTTGGCTAATTTGAGTCAGACAATCGTCATCTACTATGCCAGAAATGTCACACCCAAGAGTGCCAGACTGTGACATGCCACATTCATTTCATAAAAAAACA